CACTCGTACATGGTAAGGATAAAGCAAATTTTCCAGTAGGATTCTATGGACTATGGTATGCGATAGTCCTACGCGGCGGCCTAATTCCCGAGTGCTGATATATGCATTGATTTCCACGATATTTAAAATTTGTTCCTTCTGCTCTACAGTAACCTGTACCTGAACTCTTGATTCGAGAACATTGTAAATAAACACGACGACGTACGCGAACAGAAACAAAACAACACGCCCGATGCTTTGCTCGACAAAACGATAAAGTAATTTATCTATACAAAACGATAACTAACCACTGTTACTGTTTGCGATCGATTGCCGATTCGATAAGAGTGATGAAAGACCGACACGGTGTTGTCATGTGTGTTTTGAATATTTAATTTAATGAATCTTACTGACTACAAATTTTGGCTTAACTTATAAAAACTTAATGCCATTTGTTAATTACCCAATTTAAAAACGTTTTAGATTAGATTATAAAAATTAGTAAGATTGTGGTGATTATTGGTCGATATAAAGCACTTAAAGTTGTAAACTGTAAAGCCATTTAGACAAAAATCTAGATGGGTCATATGAACTTTTTGACTTGTTTTGACCCCGCTATTACCCATTTCAATAATGACTACCATAACGTTTACACTCTGTATTTGGCAATACATTTTTTCTGGACCAAAAATGGATTTCAATTGAAGAAGCCTCGTACAATACCTCCCAGAGTCGAAACATTACTTGAAGATTTTTTGAGATTCGTAAAAATAACTAGAACTAATGTTGCTTTTACTAAGATTTTACAACGTAATATGAACGTGGTTTCCTCTTTTCAAGATACAATGTTTTTGCAACACAAGTGAATCTACTTGATTGCGTTGGACGTTTCCATCACCTTCATGAGGTTTTATTTCCATTTCTAATTTTTGTAACTACAAGCTATGATGAACGTACCTATTTTTATCTAGTGACAAAATATTTCTGCTATTGTCAGAATGCAAATGCTTATTTTAAATTTACATATAAACTGATCACGGAGAGATCTCAAAATATTACTGTTTTCCCAATACATTTGCAGTTACCCATGTCATAAGATAAATATCATCCAATGTCATGCGTAGGTTATATCGAGATTCAAACGTTATTCAGATTTCATGGAGTTTGCCAACAAACTTTTTGTGTATTTTCTCGTAATATAAACACGCAACTTCATAAGAGTAACTTTCGTGAAATGTCTAATAATAGTGAATTACTACTTATGAAGCATTAGAAAAGTTGTTGTGCGAGTAATGTTTGCATTTAAATCAGAATTTTCCTATGATTTTGAAGTACGTGGTCGTCGTGTATTGGTCGTGGATTCATTCAAGCATTTACCTTAAAAATACGGAAATAATACACACATCTGAAAAGTTGCAATTTCTTTCTGTAAACTATTTTTATTTTCACCAAGTTATTTTAGGGCACAATTTTTGTGGATGGATAATTATTTATCTTGTTATCTAAGTTGGGAATTAATAAATTTTCTTTGGCTACGATACATAAATAACGACAAAACTATAATATAGTCTTTTAAAAAAATTGCGTAAAGTAGATTGACTCCTTATTTCACGTGTTTGATGATTGTATTGTAGATTTGCCGATCTGTTGACATAAATTTTAATGCATTTAGCATTATGATGAACGATTGTATTAGCCTTTAGTTATCATAAACCAGACAACTATTATAAATCTACCCATACGCAGCATTCAAATCTCAGTTGTTTAAACAAAATGTAGAGCACGTTGTACGTATTATCTGTTTAACATCTCTTATCTAGTTTATCGCGAGAGCTCTTATCGTCACCATTCACTATGAATTAATATTAAAAGTAGTTTTGGTTTTTGATAAGAATAATGAGACCCATATTTTAAATTATACGGAAGAACAAATATATAAAGGATGAAGAAAGAAAACAAAGCCCATTGTCTGCGGTTGTATGAAGCATTGTGACTGCTTTCACTAGATAAATAGTTATAATAAGTCCGTGTACAGACGGCGGCGGTTTTTGCATGGGTAGCTTATTTAACACCTTCTATCTTATCTTTTCAACCAACTACCATTCACTATAGTAATTATTCTAGAAACTGTATCCACGATTGTGCCACTGTTCTGTCGCGAAAGTCGGCCTGGCGAAAGGAAAGTTTTCGGTGATTCATTTTTTGTGAAATTCGCAGATGACTCGAAATGATCATTCAGAAAATTAATTATACAGATAATCGTTGAAAGGATTTGTGGGAATCGTGTTATATAATATCAATCAATTTATTTCGGAAAACCAACAGTTGTTCGCGGCACGCTAACTGTATACGGGGTGGTCGTTTTCGATTGAAAATCCGATTTTCGTTTTGCTATAATAAAATCAGGTTGGGCTATGTGATTACGGACAACCATGTACGAACCCCTTCCCACTTCAGTTGGCCCACTTCAAGATTTGTACCAAAATATGCCTTTATAAACTAAACATGACGAAACTACTTACTTCTAAAACAATTTATTTTCTCAAAAACATTTTAGATACACTCTAGTCGTAAAAAATACATATTTGAAATCACTTAGACCTATAACTGATAGAACATCTGAACAAATAAACAATGTGCGAATAAATGCGCCAACAATTGAAAGATTACCATTGGGTAACATCACCTTTATTTTTTATTACGGCTGAAATTCTTTGGGGCATAGTGTTAACCAAGTTTTGGCAAAAATTTGGTGTAAAACAATCCCATATTTCTTGAAGCTTTTGTCTCAGTTCGGTGATTGTACGAGCAGGATGTTGTCGTAGAACCTTTTTCATCTCGTGCCACAAACTTTCAATAGGTGACAGATCTGGACTGCTAGAAACCCATTTCAAAAGTGATACATTATTTTCTTCCATCCATTTTATAGCCTTTTTTTAAGGTATGGCACGCTGCACCATCTTGCTGAAACACAAAATCTTGGCCGGATGTCAAAAACATTCTTCCATCACTGGTAAAAGCGATTCTTCTAAAATTGCCAAATATTTGTTTGTATCCACATTTCCATCAATAAAATGAAGTTTTCCTACTACTTGTGATGACATACTGCCCCAGACCATAATGGATGCTAGAAATTTCACTTTTCTCTTCAGACAGTCAACATGGAATGCTTCATTTTTTTGCGAATAACTCTACTGCGACTGTCATCAACACAAACTTCGATTCGGGCCTCATCACTCCATTGTATTGCACACCATTGTTGAGGTGTCCATTGTCTATGTTCTTTAGCCCATCTAAGCCGATTTTTCTTTTGCAGTGGAGTTAATAGCGGCTTTTCTTTTTCCTATAAACAAGTTGTGCAACTTTAGGGTTTTTACTTCACTTTTCTTCACTCTGTTGTGGACCTCGAAATTCTCCTTCCAACAGCGTCACTCCACAGAGCACTTAATTGTAAATAATTGGCACGACTGTTTTTCACGATTATTCTTCATAATGCTCTTCGGTCGGCATTTGTTATATTACTTTTTTTTCACATATCGTGGCTTAATATTAACTGAACCAGTTACGTTATATCTTCTAACAATATTTCTCACACTGTACCGCCATAAGTCTAACAGAGTTGCAATGTCAGACATTTCGTAAAAAATTTTGTATGAGTAAATTGAGTGCCACATTTTTTAAAATCTGTTCTAAATAATATGCTAAAAGAGTGCAGACGCCTACTGCGCATTTGGAACAGTACAATGACATCTTTTGTGTTAATTCCTTGATGTTTTGTGATGATTAGATGAGATAATAATTGGTTGACAAAATCAAGCACTTTCAACAGTTGTGTTCATCAGTTTGTGGATTGAAAAACTTTAAAGATGTCATGGTCAAAAGAGCAGTGTGACATACTACTAAACGAGTATGAGAAATATGATTGTTTATATGCTGCAAAAAGCAATGCCTATAAAAACAGAAACGCCAAATAAGCTGCGTTAGATGGTCCCTAGTTATACCCAATTGAAAACTTGTCGCGCAGGGGAAAAATATGAATGTCATAGTCGTTGTATGAAAAAAAGATGAACGTCCACTGATCGTCACCAAAACTAGTAGCTACTACAACAATTTACCATACACCAATCTGCGACGAAAGAGATAAACGTTAAGTTGCCATTTTTAAGCAGCTACCATTATTTTTGTTTTGTTTGTTCTATACTTTTTTCAATAAAGCTTTTTTGGTTCATTGTTTTTTCCTGTCCCATTTAAATAAATATTTAGAAATAATTCCGTATTTGAGCTATAGAAAATCACCTTTTTCTCATATCCTAGGCAGTGTGTAATAAATTTCCTGTTAAGGTAGTTCTCATATTAGAACAGATCGTAAAATCTAAGATAGGCATTTTGATGGTTAATCAATCCTTAGATTTTACAGTGTGTCCCTCAAAATACAAAGATTAAAAGGATTTTCCATTAAAAAATGTTTTGAAGCCCTACAATTTGGGCAAGAGTAAATTTTGTTGGTGGTATCCTTAGATTGTTGCTTTCTAACGAGAACTTCAAATTGGGTCATGACAGGCCCGGAGCATTTGCCGCCATTTTGAAAAAATGTAATAGAAATAATTTTCTGGGGAATTCAATTCTAAATCATTTTGCTTCTATGAAAATTTGTCGTTTAGTCAACAGATTACGAGATAAAGGGTAAAGGTACATGTAATGACATTTCTGTCGAATCGTATGAATATAAAACATTATTATTTTTTGTTCGAACATAGCGCCCAGCCGCCATCTTGAAATTTTCAAATGTTTGCGCTACCCCAAATTTCAACTTGCTAACTTGACCAGTCAAAATATAAGTAGATGGAGGAGTAAAGCTGTCGATATGTAAATCATACGGCCCACAGATTCATATTTTCTTCCGGTTGACATTCCTATCGGTATTTCCGCCACCGTCGAGTTGTTTACGCTGTGCTTAGTGACTAGACTGTAGTGTTTGTATAGTGTTCAAAGTGCTAAAATACTGTTTTTTGTGTGTGCAGAAGATCCAGACCCCGGAGGCGTAACCAGCACGGAGAGCGGCAATTCCAGCGACTGCAACAAGGAGAACAGTCGTCCTCCATCCACCCAGCCCAGTCCCAGGCAGAAGGGTCTCTCCAGGAGGCAGAGGAAGAACAGGAAACGAGAGGACGTCCCGCCCCCCGACCCCGCTCTGAAGCAGAAAAAGCAGAAGCCCAAAAAGACTCCAGCTACGGCTCCCACAGACATGGAGCTCAGGAGGTGTCCTGGTTTAATGCAAAATTTCAGGAGTAACGTCACCATGGCCGTAGTACCCCTGAGGCAGTACGTGAAGTTCACCGCCAACGAACGGATGTTCGAAGCCCTGCTGCACAAATACGTTCTCAGCTACGATCAGCTGGTCTTTATGGGATATCCCATTCAAATAACCGTTGATCAGAACGTTATGGTGATGTGGCGCACCCCCAAGATGCCTATGATTACTCCCCTGTATAACTTCGACGTAAACGCTAGGGAGTTCATACCTAGGTACGATCGGTCTAGCGATAGCGGACAGGGTTCCGGAAGTTCCAGCGACAGCGGGGAGTCTTTCGATACCGAGGACTCAGTCAGCAGTAGCAGTTCTGAGCAAGATGCCCAAGTGTATTACAACCAACACTACGTAGTGAAACCTACATCTGGACCCTACCTAGAACGAACCTGCAGCCGTTGCAGTAGACTCTTCTACACTACCGACAAGGAATACATCACTATGGAGCGTTGCTGCTACCACTGGGGCAGGTTGCAAAACATTGTATCTCCGGGAGTGAAGAAAACGTGCCAGATGGTATACACCTGTTGTCAAGCGAAAAGCGGGGCCAAGGGATGTGCGGAGGCCAGGGTACACGTGTGGAACGGCGTCCGGGATGGGGTTGAATCGTTCCACGACAACTACGTGGCGACGAAAGTAAGGAAAAACCCTCCACCAGAAGGCAGCTACGGCGTCTACGCGCTGGACTGTGAAATGTGCTATACAGTGCGCGGCTTAGAATTAACCAAAGTGACAGTGGTAGGCATCGACGGAAGGCTAGTGTACGATATGTACGTGCAACCCGACCTCGAAATCGTCGACTATAATACTAGGTTTTCCGGCATCACCGCCAAAGACATGCACCGCGCACAAGCGAAAAAACTCCGCGAAGTGCAGAACGATCTGATGGGGTTCATAAACGCGAACACGATACTGATCGGACACGCTCTCGAGAACGATCTCAGGGCGTTGAGGATGGTGCACTACCAAATCGTGGACACCGCCTACACCTTCCCACACTACCATGGCCTTCCTTACCGCAGGTCCCTCAAGAATCTAACCTCCAGCATCTTGAAGAGGCAGATCCAAGTGAACGGTCACAACAGTTACGAGGATGCTAGTGCGTGTATGGAATTGATGTTGTGGAAGGTCAGGAAAGATGACTTACGGACGTCGTGGTCGCACGGTGCGCACCCGGTGAATTTTTGAATGCGAATAAAAGGTCATTCATTGGTTCAACTCTTACTCGAGCTTTATTTATTGAAACGCTGTTATCATTTTTCTCATTGCGTCATCACTCATGCGGTTTCGATATAGCCTGCGCACCCAATGGATAGGATGTTGTACCGCAAGTTTGTCCGACAAACGTATGAGCCTACTGGTAGGCTAAAGTGAAAAATGCTTCTGACTAGATTGTATACTGGGTGACCAATTAAATAGAACACCTAATAAAGGTATGCAAACCTCGTAAGTCCATGTTCGGTATCGTAAGATAAATACTTGTTTACCTTTATCCAACATGGGCATACAAAGTTTTATTAAAAGAATTATATTATGTTTTGTTTTCTGTATCACTGAGTACTTTTGAACTACCGGCTTCAAATATGCAAATATTTTATGATGCTACGTGTCTAATGTTACATTGTTCGCGCCCCAATCTCAAAACTCAAGGTAAAAGTTGGTGTATGGATATAAGGGGCTCTTACTTGCGTTCTTAATGTGCCACTTAGTGCTACCTACGACTGTAGACCAAGAGTGAGACCGAAACGCTGGACTTAGCGGCAAAGTACACATACAAAAAAATTAGGGAAAATCATTTTTTATTGTACACTAAACTTTTATTGGGTGCTTAGGCTATATGTGAATGTATTACTAAGCGTAAAAGAAAGTTATGGTTTAAGTGTTCCTTTTTTATACGTTGACTAGTGATATTATTTTGGAAGAATCTCATATCGGTTTAAGTTTTCTTCGTGTGATGGAAAAATTAGGTTAAGTTCGACTCGGAAATAAATTCGTCCGACTGTTTACCGGAGCCAAATGCAAAACAGAATTTTTAGTTTTGATTTTTCGTTATGATTTTTGATGACTAACCGTCTTGGTTTGGCTTCTGTAAAACACCAAACTTGCGTTGATCACAGACAATAATGGTTGTAAAGCAATATAACTCGCAAATCCAAGGTCTCGACACATTTTTAACTGATTTTATTCGATTGAATTCGTGACCCGTAGGTTATTATCAATTTTACTCTATTATTTTCTTCCTACGATCCTCTTAATTCGAGGATAATCTATGCCATACAAATCTCAGGTCATGCTTCCATTTTATAATCTCATAACTTGAACGTTGAGTGCAGATAAAGTGAAGTTTATTTTGTATCACTGGAGCTTGTTGATAGTTTTGATAATTCGAAGCAATTGGTCAAATTTGACAGTCAAGCAAAAACTGCTGCAAAGTGTCAAAACTGTGACACAGTTATTTTAAAGCAGCATCAAATTTCTGCAGTTCTGGACTCGATTGGAACACAGTTATTTGAATGCTAAAATTGTCTATTTTTTGATGAATTTTTTGTAGCAGTTGACAGTTTTCAATGACAATAATTTATGTTAGCAATATATTTTTGCTATATATCTATTCAAGAATTTTATCTTCTAAAATCGGTTTAAACTTGTGAATAGTACCAGGTTTCTCTACCTGAATGATCAAAGAACTTTTTCTACAAAAAAATACAAATCCGTTTATGCGGTACCGTAGCATAACCAAACATTTTCATACGTATTTAATATTCATAAATATGGCGCTGAAAGCAGAAGGAACTTTTTCGAGTTCTAGTGGATATAGTCGGAGATGACCAAACATAGTGAGAGGTTTTGTGCAAGAACTTTTATGTGATAAATACTTTGTTTCTTGTATTCGGGGCTTTCAAAAGTATAGATACGTTTATTGGTGATGAACAATCTGGCATCAGTAGACTGCGACCCATCCTGCGATATATTCCTGAGACTAATACTATAGCATGCATGAAGATCTGTTTCACTGTAAAATACTTGAATCCAAATTCAAAGAAGTATGTTAAGCAGCAAAAGGCTCGTGCATTATGCCTTTTACTGCATTACCAGAATTTTTTAAATTCGATTCGAGTATTTCACAGTGGCATTGACAGATTTTCTGTGCTGTCACTAGTTTCACGAATCGGTTTCGAGATTCGTCTTTGTCGAAGTAGTCATTAGTACAGAGTGGATAGCAAAAAGCGCAGTTACTTAGTTTGAACAGCACTATGATATCAAAACATTTTAAGGATTTCCTTATACTATCGCTCACCTTGGTGCAGCATCAAAAGTATTCAGAATTTCTAAACACGTGCGTACTTTTACTACTACAATATTTCAGTTTTGTCATTGTTCTCCAATAAATTGATTTTATCTATACTTTTTCTAGCTCTTCTATACGTACTTCTACTATCTACTCTATAAACTCTATCCATCTAGATGTATGTGAAACTAAGGGTCAATCGCATCACCAGACTTGATACTTCTCGTCACTACTAGCCTTACTTAATTGTTTAAACACCAGATAAATGATTCATTATTGTCCTGTATGTATGTAAATATTTTATTTGTCAAATGCTCTCAGAAGTGCCGAATTATGAATTTCGGTGGTAATTATCACCGACTCACATAAGGACTTTGAAGTTTATTCAACACATTTTTCTATCTACAAATTAACACGTCATTTACCTGGTGGTTAAATATTATTTTCTCCTCGAGCTTCAGATTGGTAAACTTAATTTTACTGTACTTACAAAATCTGGACTGAGTGTTTCTGTGCTCGTGAATTCTTATGGTTGTACTTTCATCTCACGAACTATTATCTTTCCACATTTTCTGCTATGTAAACTGGACCCTTTTTGCCTAGGTAGTATTATTTTTTCAACTCTGTGTTCAATTTTTATTTCACTTTTTATATAAAAGTCGACAAAAAAAATTATTATAAAAAAGTGCAGCAGGCAAAAATGGCTGTGTCAAATGCAAATGCATGGTACGATTATTTGTACCATACTTTTGAAAGTAAAAATAAAATAAAACATTCTTAAATACCTACATGTCTTTTATTTGAACAACCACGGACCAGTTTCTCACCAAATCGCAAAGTGAAAGTTATGTGCATTTCTATTGCGGCGTTAAGTAATATGGCAAATATACGGGGAAATACAAACAAGGTCGAGAGGAGAGCTAATCATGAAAATATAAATTGTTTACTGCGACTAAAACTTAAGTACACGATTCCATATGTGAAGTGAAAAGCGTGTATACCAGGGATGTCTTTTAAGTTTTGCATATGGAAATAAAACAACACGGTAGGTAGTTTTAAATGACTTTATTGTTTTTCGAAGTATTCTCCACGAATATTAATACACATCTGCATGCGCTCGAACCAATTTTCGAAGCACTTATTCGACTCGTTTGCTGGCAGATCCAAAACGGCATTTTTGAATGCGTCAACTGCTTCTTCTGGCGACTGGAACCTTTGACCACGCAGTCTGTTTTTAATTTTCGGGAAAGTAAAGAAATCGTTAGGACTTAGATCGGGACTATATGGAGGATGGTCCAATAAAATTCCACGTTTTCTTCCGTTAAATACTGCCTTGTTTTTTGGGCTGTGTGCGAGCTTGCATTGTCTTGGTGGAGGTTGATTCTTCTTTCGGGGTTGATTTTTCGAAGCTCGGTGATGACTTTTGGCAAACAATTGGTGGTAAACCAATCCGCAGTAACAGTTCTTTGCTCATTGAGATGAATTGTTGCAATATGACCTGCTTTTGACAAAAATGTCGCGACCACCTTTTTTTCTGTTTCATAACAGTAAATCCACGATTCATCACCACTAACAATGCTGTACACATTTTTTGAGTTTCCGGATTTGAAACTGTCAAGTGTTTTTTGACACCAATTAACCCTGGCTGCTTTCTGCTCTTCAGTCAACAGGTGGGGTATCCAACGAGAAACTAATTTTCTTACTCCTAATTCTTCATGTAATTTTTTTTGAATTGAGGTCTTTGAGATCTTCAAGGACGTCTCAATCTCGCGATATGTCACATGTCTATCTTCAATGATGAGTTTGCTCACAGCATCGACGTTTTCCTGGGTGACTGCCGTTTTTGGTGCACCCACCCTGGGATCGTCGCTAACACTCACCCGTCCACGTTTGAATTCTTCATACCAACGGGAAATTGTCGACTGGTGTGACGCTTCGTTGCCGAAAACAAACAGTAACTCAGCTAGCCATTCTTGTTGCGATAATTGTCTCTGAAAGTTGTAATAAATTATGGCGCGAAAATGTTCTCGGTTGAGTTCCATTTTTCTAATGACTTGGTGACACTTAAAAATTCACTGTAGTGAGAACACTGCACGTATTGTTGTGAAACTTTGAATTTAAGTTTACTAAAGAGTGAGGTTAAGATTCAGTACTGAAGTTCGATTCGCGCGGCCTACTATGTTTCTATATGCAAAACTTAAAAGACATCCCTCGTACAATGAAACCAGACGTACAAGGGCAAACGCCAAATTGCGTCAGTTTAAATTGGCCCTTATCTGTATTTTATGGAGCGTCTAAACGTGCAATATTTATAGCCTGTCTATATCTTGGCAATATTATCTGTAATGTGTAGACACATACACTGAAAACCAAATTTGTCTGATGGCTTGAGTTCAGTTTGTACGAGAGAGGTGTGTGTGTGTATAGACACATGTTAGAAAAAGATAGAAGCCGGCTGGATAGCAAAGCTCATCACCGCGTTGCCTAGTAACGCTGACGCGGCAATCTGCCGCGTTGCCAATATGTTATACCAGTTCGTTGAATTAAGATGCACGTTGAAAATTTGCGTTTATTCTCTACGCTCAAATGATGGTTTTATTCTGAGCGAACAGGTTTTTGAATTGTGTCGAATCTGCTTAGGATCGGTTCCCGATCGGTCCTTACGTCGCTGCGTTTTAAGTAGAAATGAAAGGTTGCCTAACGTTACTTGTTACATTTTCCGACCGCGGTGAAAATCAAAAGTAAATTAAAATACTAAGTTGCATCAACGATGAAATGCATAATTCTAATCAAAATGAAAACAAAATATTAAATTAAATGTTCGATCAGATCTCTTTCTTTTTGGTTTGATAGTGACCTTACCTAATGTAGACGCCTGTGTGAACATTTTCTGGTGTAAAATATTGGCAACGCGGCAGATTACGCGACCTTCTGCGTCACCGTTGCTAGGGAATGTGGTGATGGCCTTCGCTCGTCAGCCGGCTTCTATCTCTTTCTAACACGTGTGTGATCACACTTATCGCGCCCCTCTCGTAGACATTGAACTCAAGACGTCAGACAAATGTGTATCAATGTAGCTGGGCAGTAAAAATAAAGCCCGTTTAGAAGCGCTATTTGACAATTCAACAAAAATGGGCAACCTTCCCTCAAAAAAACTAAAAAATAGATACAATGCCCTACAAAACACCGTAAAAATGCAGAAAATGAGAAAACAGAAAAAATCGAAGTGGAAAGAAATAGTATTGAGCAAGGATCTTTATAAACTGTCATTTCAGCAATATAAATACATACTATTTCCAAGCAAAGAATTAATACTTCATGCATATTATGTTAGTGATAGATTGCATTGTTTGATATGATGGTAAGTACAAAAGCTTATGCTTTTGAAAGAGGAAAGTACCTAAACCGCTATATTCAAATAAGCTTTCTTTGTAAGGGATCACAGAATAATGCTGGTTTGATTTGAAAATTGAAATTCCTGCTCGTATCATGTATTTAAGTTATTTCGGTCGTTCATTTAAGGTTCCACTGATTCTAAAATGAGCAGAGTGAAAAGGTTGATATAGTGATTGGAATTTCTTTAATTAATCGTATCATTTTGGATTTTATTTTCGACCTCCTCAATGGGTAATAGGGGGCGTCAAAACAAGTCAAAAAGTTCATATGACCCAAGTGGCATTAAGTTTTTCTAAGGTAAGCTAAAATTTGTAGTCAGTAAGTAAATTTCATTAGATTAAATATTTAAAACACACATGACAACAGCGCGTCGGTCATCATCACTCTTATCGAACCGGCAATCGATCGCAAACGGTTGTTAGATGTTAGATTACGGTGAAGTTCGTCAGAATTAAAATCTTGCAGCTCAAATTTATCGCGACAGCTTTCGTCAACGGGTACACCCAGACAGAAGGACATTTGTGCAAGTGTACCAAAGACTTCGAGATACAGGAAGTGTTCAGCCCACTAATATTCGCACTCGTGGAAGACAGGTTACTGTAGAACAGGAGGAACAAATTTTAAATATCGTGGAAATCAATGCATATATCAGCACTCGGGCGATTAGGCTGCCGCTTAGGACTATCGCATACCATAGTACATAGAATCCTACGGGAAAATTTGCTTTATCTCTACCATGTACAACGAGTGCAGGCTTTGTTACCAGAAGACTATCCTCGCAGACTAACATTCTGTCAGTGGTTTTTGCACAAAAACATTGAAAATTCGGATTTTCATAAAAACATTCTAGCGACGGACGAATGTACTTTTACGCGAGACGGGATATTAAATTTCCATGATACTCACACGTGGGCTCAAGAAAATTCTCATGCCATTCGTGAAGGTGATTTCCAACAACGTTTTAAAATAAATATTTGGGCGGGTATTCTTGACGATCAGGTAATTGGCCCTTTCGAGTTACCTCCAAAGTTGTCAGGAGAAGGATACCTTAGCCGTCTAGCCAATAACAGATCTTAGACAACATGCCTTTACAACGGAGACAGAATTTATGCTTTCTTCATGCCGGGGCACCACCACACATTTTTAGAGGCGTCATTCAGTATTTGAATGAACATTATCCAAATCGCTGGATCGGTCGAAATGCTCCTGATCCTCTAAAATGGCCAGCAAGATCTCCTTGCCTCAATCCGATGGATTTCTGGTATTGGGGAGAACTTAAAGGGATGGTTTATGGGGCTGGTCCAATAACAAATGAAGCACAACCTCGCGAAAAAAAAATGTAATGCGGCTGAAATAATAAATGGACAACTTCGAGGAGCTAGAGTAAGAAGAAACTGGGTTCGTCGTAATGAAGCTTGTGTGGAAAGTGGAGGACGACATTTTGAACACCTTCTTTGAATACAAAAAAGTGCAGTGTGGGTTTTAAAAAGAAAAACAATGTATGTATCAAAATTGTGTTCCTATTTATAAGTGGATTTTTTTAATACGTTCAATATGCTTTCACACACCAGGTGAAGCGCTGAGACAGTAAGTCCGTTTTATTTAATTGTTTGCATTTTACGAGTACATTATCAAATAATGAAATAATACCTAAAATACCAAAAATAACAAACTCCATCTTTATTTACACTGCGTTCCGTCTGTCACCCATTTAAATAATGACTATCATAACGTTTACATCCTGTATAACTCGATCTACGTGTCAAAGGTATTTCTTTACGGCAAACGAAGCAAAATGACATATACAAAATGTACTTTTGATATTACGTCTTATGTTGATACTTAATGTATCTTGTATCTACAGTACAGTTGAACTGTGGGTCGTGAACCTTTTGTTAGTAGCTAAACGTGATGGTTCTTACTTTGATACTGAATACGATGGAAAATAATTCTCAATAAAAAATCGTTCAAATATCACGTATGTAAAGTCTCACATCAGAACTGATGATAATGTCACGATCTTTTTATGCATTATAATACTACATGTACAACCTACATCATAGCGGAGATAAAGTACAGTAGGCATCTCTAAAATAGTTCTACGTCGATATTCTGATATACAGTGATTCATAAAATAGTGACAATACTTCTATAACAGAAAGTACATCCCTAAATAATAAAAATAAGTTTCTATAGGTGTAGACAGAGAACCTAAAATGTCCAATTATGAAGGTGTCACTGATGATCCTGAATAAGGACAAAACAGAATATTCTTCAGGTAACGTTATAGTGGGTGTCCTGATTCAAATATGATTTTTAATGTCGAACTTCACTAACTGATTTGTATTTCGAAAGCGGAACCAGTTGAAATTTGATATATTGATTTCACTTCAA